AAGGTCACAGGTGGTGGTGACGTCCACAAAGGCGCTGGTGATAAAACATGTGACATTTTTCACTGTTTAAAGACTAAGCAGAGGGAATGAATGCGTTTTACATGGGCGGATTTAATGATGATGTATTCGGTGGGCTACATCGTCTGTGTGTGTGTGTGTGTGTGTGTGTGTGTGTGTGTACAGACTTACCCCAGCCATGTACATACGCACCACAGGCATGTACAGACACAGACACACCACAGCCACGTATAGACACCACAGCCACGTATAGACACCACAGCCACGTACAGACTCACCACAGCCACGTACAGACTCACCACAGCCACGTACAGACTCACCACAGCCATGTACAGACATCACAGCTAAGTACAGACACACCACAGCCATGTACAGACTTACCACAGCCATGTACAGACACACCACAGCCACGTATGGAGCACCACAGCCATGCACACACACAGCATGGGACTCACCACAGCCACTTACAGACACCACAGCACGTAGAGACACCACAGCCACGTAGAACACCACAGCCACGTGGGGCACCACAGCCATGTACCAGACACCACAGCCACATTGCAGACACCACAGCCACGTACAGACACCACAGCCACTTATAGACACCACAGCACATTAAAGACACCACAACCACTTACAGACACCACAGCCACGTACAGACACCACACGTACAGACACCACAGCCACGAACAGACACCACAGCCACGTGTGGGCACCACAGCCACGTACAGACATCACAGCCACGTACAGACACCACAATACGTACAGACACACCACAGCCACGTACAAGCACCACAGCCGTACAGACACCACAGCCACATTACAGACACCACAGCGCATCAAGACACCACAGCCACCACAGCCACGTACACAGACACCACAGCCACGACCGCAGACATACAGCCACGTACAGACATCACAGCCGCGTACAGACATCACAGCCATGCAGACATCACAGCCACGTACCAGACATCCGCAGCCACATTACCAAGACATCACAGCCACGTACCACCAGGCCACCACAGCCACGTACAGACATCACAGCCACGTAGAACACCACAGCCACGTACAGACATCACGTATTTTGAACATCACAGCCACGTACAGACACCACCCAGCCGCATTACCAGACATCCCAAGCCGCGTACCAGACACTCCACCAGCCCACATGCGGGGAGCCACCCACAGCCACGTACAGACATCACAGCCACGTACAGACATCACAGCCACGTACAGACATCACAGCCGTACAGACATCACAGCCACGGCACAGACCACCACAGCCGCGTACAGACATCACCCAGCCACGTACAGACATGCAGCCACATTACCAGACACATCACAGCCACGTACAGACACCACAGCCACGTACAGACATCACAGCCACGTACAGACACCACAGCCACGTACAGACATCACAGCCACGTACAGACATCACAGCCATATCAGTGTTGTGGTTATTTGTTCACTTTGTATTTATATATTTTTCTGGCTAAATAAACTGTTTCGACATCAGTATATCAATTAACTTATTGGAAGTGTGAGGAAAAGTATAAATGGTTGGGTAAGGATATTGGAGGAGGGATTTTTGGAGTAGGGATTTTGGTGTAGGGATTTTGGTGTAGGGATTTTGGTGTGGGGATTTTGGTGTAAGGATTTTGGTGTAGGGATTTTGGTGTAGGGATTTTGGTGTGGGGATTTTGGTGTAGGGATTTTGGTGTAGGGATTTTGGTGTGGGGATTTTGGTGTGGGGATTTTGGTGTAGGGATTTTTTTGTGAGAGTTTTTGTGTAGGGATTTAGGTGTGGGGATTTTTGAATGTGGGGTACAGTGTGGGGAGTTTTGGTGTGGGGATTTTTTCAATGTATAGGGATTTTTCGATTAGTAGAGTTTTAGTGTGGGGATTTTGGTGTAGGATTTTTAGTGTAAGGATTTTAGTGTAAGGATTGCAGTGTGAGGTTTTTGAGCATGGGGATTTTCTGGTGTGGGATTTGCAGTGTGAGAGTTTTCGGTGTAGGGATTTTTGTGTAGGGATTTTTGTGTAGGGATTTAGGTGTGGGGATTTTGGTGTAGGAATTTTGGTGTAGGGATTTTGGTGTGGGGATTTTGGTGTAGGGATTTTGGTGTAGGGATTTTGGTGTAGGGATTTCGGAGGGGGATTTTGAACAGGTATTTTTTTACGATAGATTTGACTTAACAAATAGGATTTAATTGGATCTTGATGGGTAAAACTGAGAGCTGTAATGACACAATGCTTCATAACTTTAACTGTACCTCATCAAGTGTAATTAATTAATGCCCACAGGTAAAACAATATCATCCTACTTGGCGTCCGAACATTAAGTAATCAAAGGGAATCTAATCTGACCTAAAAAAAAAGGAATTTAATCTGACCTAAGAAAGGGGAATTTATCTCACCAAAATCTACCTATACTGTAAATGTCAACAAAAACCTGAATACGTCTCTTGATTCTTGACTCCAGACGCCATTAAGTTTAGAACGAGTCTTTGGTAGTTATAGTGAAGGAGAGGGAAGGTCATCTGGTCACTGAGATACACCACAATAAATGTTTATGTGTACGAGACAAAAGTTGACGTCGCAGCACTTAACATCTCCACAACAAGGGTAGAAGACACGAGAGAACACGACCCTTGGAAAATAACCACCAGTTATTGTGAGTACAGCCGTAGTGTCATTAAGGGAATGGCCTGGTTCAATTTGACCGGTCATAAAAATGGTGAGACACGAGGACTGGTGTGTGTGTGTGTGTGTGTGTCGTGTGTGGGTGTGTTCCGGCTGCCTCACGTCACCTACACCGCGAGCACCACGTTTACACTCATGAGGTTTGAGTAATAAAATAGAGTAGATGAAGTGTAATCCTCTTTCAGGCATTTAGATTTCGGTTGTATAAAGGCTATTAATTTTAATCCCATTTTCTAATAAACAGCTATGTGATCTTTTAACTTAATTCCCCTCGTAATTCCTTGTATAATCATTTATTCCTTAATTCATCTATATTGTCCGGCAGGAAACAGGACTATACAGTAAAGCCTCTGTCTACTGTACATCAGTGTGACGGGGAAACCTGGGGCGCATCGAGGTACAGATTGCAGCCCGTGAGATATCTGTTCATCGTTGACTTTGTGTAGATAAATTCTCTTTCATTTTTATTTTCTATATTTCGAATTATCTTCATTACTACTCATAGAACATACAAATTATATTTTTTATAGAATTAATTAAGATTTAAATTATCTAACACTTTTTTTCTATATGTACGTCAATAGAGATGATGGTCGTGAGTGGCTCGTCCAAGAACCTGCATCAGTCTCAGTGTGTGACAGGTCAAGAGAGGTAACGCTAGTCTGTCCTTCACTGTGTCATGGATAGCTAAGTTATTAAAGGATTATATTCAATATTTTCATGAATGCGATCCACTGAGATGAGGAAGGATCACACATACGGTCCACTGAGATGAGGAAAGATCACACATACGGTCCACTGAGATGAGGAAGGATCACACATACGGTCCACTGAGATGAGGAAAGATCACACATACGGTCCACTGAGATGAGGAAGGATCACACATACGGTCCACTGAGATGAGGAAGGATCACACATACGGTCCACTGATATGAGGAAAGATCACACATACGGTCCACTGAGATGAGGAAAGATCACACATACGGTCCACTGAGATGAGGAAGGATCACACATACGATCCACTGAGATGAGGAAAGATCACACATACGGTCCACTGAGATGAGGAAGGATCACACATACGGGCCACTGAGATGAGGAAGGATCACACATACGGTCCACTGACATAAGTAAGGATCACACATACGGTCCACTGAGATGAGGAAGGATCACATACGGTCCACTGAGATGAGGAAGGATCACACATACGGTCCACTGAGATGAGGAAAGATCACACATACGGTCCACTGAGATGAGGAAGGATCACACATACGGTCCACTGAGATGAGGAAGGATCACACATACGGGCCACTGACATAAGTAAGGATCATCACATACGGTCCACTGAGATGAGGAAGGATCACACATACGGTCCACTGAGATGAGGAAGGATCACACATACGGTCCACTGAGATGAGGAAGGATCACACATATGGTCCACTGAGATGAGGAAGGATCACACATACGGTCCACTGAGATGAGGAAGGATCACACATACGGTCCACTGAGATGAGGAAAGATCACACATACGGTCCACTAACAACTTGGGGTGACATCATTAATCTACATTATCAAAGAAACTCACCCGTAAAACTATAGATGTATTAAATCAAACACACAAAAAAAAAATATTCACTCCGCATTTCTCATTGTAGCTAGTCATTGTAATATTAAATCTCACCTGTGCATTGTAAATTAAAATTGATAGTGAAGGATAAAGTTACCAACAAAATACTGTAGATAGATAGATAGATATTTTATTGATCACAAATTATGACTACAGAGTTTACACTAAAATTTCACATAAAATTGTCCAAATGAAAATGCTTTAAAACACCAAATATTAATAAAAGTTCACTGATTCAACCAGCAACACACACAAAAAAAAACAGAGGGAAAAACATGAGTAAATAAAGCAAAAAAAAAAAAAAACTACAAGTAAAATAAACTAAAAAGTCCAAAATCCAAAATAGTTGTGGATGATGGTACACACAGTCTTGTTTAACTGTGTTATATTTTCTCCTGCAGTGAGATTTTACCTTCCATCTTACGTCAATGGTATAAACTATTATTCATATATGTAAATTGTCAGGTGTGTCATGTGGCAGAAGGTGTGCCAGGTGTGTCAGAAGGTGTGTCAGGTGTGTCATGTGGCAGAAGGTGTGCCAGGTGTGTCAGAAGGTGTGTCAGGTGTGTCAGGTGTGTCAGGTGTCAGATATGCCAGGTGTGTCAGGTGTCAGAAGATATGCCAAGAGGTGTCAGGTGTGTCAGGTGTTCATGAGATGTGCCAGGAGGTGTATCAGAAGATGTGCCAGGAGTGTATCAAAAGGTGTGCCAGGAGGTATGTCAGGTGTCAGAAGATGTGCCAGGAGGCGTGTCAGGGGATGTGCCAGGAGGTGTGTCAGAGGATGTGCCAGGAGGTGTGTCAGAAGATGTGCCAGGAGGCGTGTCAGGGGATGTGCCAGGAGGTGTGTCAGAGGATGTGCAGGGAGGTGTGTCAGAAGGTGTGTCAGAAGGTGTGCCAGGTGCCAGGAAGTGTGTTAGAAGATGTACCAGGAGTAGTGTCAGAAGGTGTCAGGTGTCAGAAGATGTGCCAGGAGGCGTGTCAGGGGATGTGCCAGGAGGTGTGTCAGGGGATGTGCCAGGAGGTGTGTCAGGTGTCAGAAGATGTGCCAGGTGCCAGGAGGTGTGTTAGAAGATGTACCAGGAGTAGTGTCAGAAGGTGTCAGGTGTCAGAAGATGTGCCAGGAGGTGTGTCAAACGGTGTCACAAGCCCCTCGCCACAAGGACTCACCACGCTACAGCAGTATAAGAGTGGTGGGTCTCCTCCAACAGGCGGGTCATCAGGAAGGGTTGGCTGGCTCGCCCGGCGCCTCCTGATGGCGGCTTATTGAGACGTGGTGGGTCACTTTTTACACCCCGGCAGGTCATAGACATGGCTCCCACAGGATGCAGGAGACTATTTGACGCATCTTACTGAACCAAAACCTATCCAGACCTAAGAAAACCCTAACCTAACCTACATAAAACTAAATTAACTCAAGAATCTAACAAAACCCTAACCTAATTTAACCTAACAAAACTAACCTAATCTAACCTTACCTAACCGGAACTAACTAAACCTAACTCAAGAATCCTAACCTATAACCTAATCCAGACTAACCTTAACCTAACCTAACCTAGCCTAACCTAACCTAACCTAACTCAAGAATTCTAACCTAACTCAACTGAAATCCGAAATAAATCTAGCATTAATCTATCGACTAATAATTAAAAATAAATAAATAAAAGACTAACATTCAACAGGACCTCCCTCCCCCTCAACCAGTCCTACGTGACCTGTTGGTGACCTTTGACCTCGATGAAAATAACCTTAGTGGACAAAACCCAAAATCTATCTACATTACCTTGAGAGGAGGGGAGAGGAGGGGAAGGGAAGGGGAGATGAGGAGGATGAGGGGTAGGGGAAGGGTAGGGGAGAGGAAAGAGAGAAGGGGTGAGTAAGGGGAGAAGGGGAGAAATGAGAGAGAAGGGAAGGAGAGAGGAGGGAAGGGGAGAGGAAGGGAAGAGAAGGATGAGGAAGGAGAGGAAGGAGAGGAGGGGGAGAGAAGGGGAGAGGTAGGAGAGAGGAGGGGGAGAGAAGAGGAGGAGAGGGAGGAGAAGGGTAGAGTAGAGGGAGGAGAATAGGAGAGGAGGGTGAGAGGAAGTGGAGAGGAAAGAATGAAGGGGAGAGGAACGGGAGGAGAAGGGGAGATAACGGGAAGAGGAAGGAAAGGGGAGGAAGGTAGAGGGCGGGAAGACCACTTTGTATCCAGTGTCAGAATAAAAAAAAAATTGGTTGAAGAATAATGGGAAATTGGGCCAAAAATTTCAGGTGATCCCCAATAAATAAATAAATAAAAACTAACTCTCTCTCTCTCTCTCTCTCTCTCTCTCTCTCTCTCTCATTCTCCTCTTTCACTTGCCTCTTCTCTGTCTGTCTCTCCCTTCCTCCCCCTCTCCTCCATCCTTCACTCCCTCTTTTCCCCCTCTCTCTCCCCTTCTCTTCTCTTGCCTCCTCTCTCAGTTTCCCTCGCCTCCTCTCTCTCTCTCTTTCCCTCGCCTCCTGTCTCTCTCTTCATCACTCCTGTCTCTCCCGTCTATCCTCTCTCCGTTTATCTCTTCCTTCCTCCCTCATCTCTCTCTCTCATAACACATTCTCACTCGCCTTAAAAACACAAGGTAAAACATCTGAGCAATTCACCCCCTACATGATTCTCCTTAAGTAGTGTTCACATTCCTTTTCATTAGTTCACACATAGTTCGTTTTTATCTCCTGTTCTTGGTGTTAATTAAATACAAACTTACTAATAGAGAGGATTATCGGATTATCTTATTTACTTATCTTGATCTTCAGTGTAAGAGTTTTAAGTCTTTATCCAACTCTTTCGTCGGATTATATGAAGATTAAACCCTTCTTAAACCCTGGATTATTTCACCTGATGATTATTAAACACTAACGCTATCTGGGGTTTTGGTTTGGTTTGGTTTGGTTTGGTTAGGTTAGGTTAGGTTAGGTTAGGTTAGGTCAGGTTAGGTTAGATTAACATTGTGGTGGTTGTTCTTAAGGTGAAATAAACAGGGATGCTAATCTTCATGTGATCCTCATCTCCTCCTTCACCAAATCTTAATATTTCCTCTCTTCTCCCCTCCATATCTTTTCCTATTTTTTCTCATTTCTCCTAACACCTTCTTACACAATTCACCTCTCTTTCTCTCACTGTTTTTACTTATTCTTAGCCTTTCCTTCCTCTTCTACGTTATCCTATTATTTTTACATCCTCTCCTTTCTTCCCTTACTCCCCACACCATTTTCCACTTTCTCGTTATTTCTATCTCCTCCTCCTCCCCTTCTCTCGTAATCTTCTCCTTTCCTTCCAACATCAGCTTCCATTTTCTCGTTAATTCTATCTCCTTCTCCTTCCCTCCTCTTCTAATCTGCTTATTTCCTTCCTACATCATCTTCCATCATTTTATTTCTATTTCCTTCTCCTCCTTTCCTCTCCTCTCCTACTTTTCTAATCTACACCATCTTCGTCCCCAGCCGGTACTAGATCGCTCCGCCAACGCCTCGTCTGTGAAAAATGCTGTTATTATTTTTACCTCCCATGATGGAAAGGCTGAATATTTGATCTGGATATCATGGAACTTTCTCCCCCCATCCCCCCTAACAGCTGGTGGTCTTCTTCTTCTTCTTCTTCTTCTTCTTCTTCTTCTTCTTCTTCTTCTTCTTCTTCTTCTTCTTCTTCTTCTTCTTCTTCTTCTTCTTCTTCTTCTTCCTTCTCTTTATCTCGCCTTCCTTCATTTTTCCTACTCTTGTTCATGTTTTTTTCATGCACCTTTCCTCTTTTATCTTTTTTCCCCCTCATCCTTCCAACGACTCTTCTTTATCTCTTCTTCCTCTTCTCTGTCTCTCTTTCTCTCTCTTTACTTCCCCAATTCTCAACCATCTTATGCCCACTGATTTTTCCTCTCTCTCCTCTCCTTTCTCATCTTTCCTCCTACTCTCTCTCTCTATCTCTCTCTCTCTCTCTCTCTCTCTCTCTATGCTTCTCAACCATCACCGCCAAACACTCAAACGTGACAAAGAGCTCCATTACCCTCCCAATTTCTCTGGAATGTCAGATTTTAATTTCGCCATCTCGCAGTTTGATGCTTTTATTCAGGTGCTTGAAACATGTGCGCTAGACATACACACTTACACTTACACAGACAGACAGACAGACACCCTCTCCCCCCTCTCTCTCTCTCTCACTAGCGACTACTCTCTTCCTCAACCTTCGGAACCACGGACAAAAGCGTGAGAAATATCCCCAACATCCCACCAACAAATGATCAAATATTATATAGAATCCCAACCTTTACCTAAAACCACACCGCTACCACCCTGTCCCCCCTTCACTCACACAAATTTAAACGGGCCTCTATCCGACCGGGTATCGAAACCTGCGATTCATTACGTACGAGACGGGTCGAGACGGGTCGCGGGTTGTTAAGTGGCCTCGTTACTCTCAAACGCCTCGCTCGGGTTATATATTACAGGGAATATATGACCTGCTGGCGATATGCAGCTGAGCCGATAACTGCCTGAAGCATTTTATTCGACGGGGGGACACTGGGATCCATGACTCCAGGGGGACGTTTTTGGAGGTGAGAATAGGAAGAGGAAGGGATGGAGGAAAACAGAGGTGTGGAGGAGGAGGGGAAGGAGGAAGATAGAGGTGTGGAGGAGGAGGGGAAGGAGGAAGATAGAGGTGTGGAGGAGGAGGGGGAGGAGGAAAACAGAGGTGTGGAGGAGGAGGGAAGGAGGAAGATAGAGGTGAGGAGGGGGAGGAGAAGATAGAGGTGTGGAGGAGGAGGAGGAAGATAGAGGTGTGGAGGAGGAAGGGGAGGAGGAAGATACAGGTGTGGAGGAGGAGGGGAAGTAGGAAAACAAGTGTGGAGTAGTGGATGTGAAGAGCGGAAGATAAGATGAAAGGGAAGGGAGAGGCTTAAGAAGGAGGAGAAATGAGAGGAGAATTAAGGACTGGAGGAGAAGGAAATAGAGAAGGATGTGAGACAATAAGAGGAGGAAGAGAGAGGACAGCGAGAGATGGAAGAGGAGGAGAAAGATATAGGGCAGGAAAATGAGAATAAGAGAGAGCTTAAAGAGAGAGAGAGAGAGAGAGAGAGAGAGAGAGAGAGAGAGAGAGAGAGAGAGAGAGAGAGAGAGAGAGAGTAAAAACACACTTCAAACTTATTCTTTGGTGTAAAATTTAGTGTTCCTAGATAAACATTTCAGGAACTGTGGCCAAGAAGCCTTTTTATCCCCTCATTTAACCAAAACCTGTGTAACCTTACCATAAACTAACCTAACCAATACCTAACCTTACCATAACCCAACCCAACCCAACCCATGGATCAGCATAGACCAAAAATTTTAGTTTTACGACACACACACACACACACACACACACACACACACACACACACACACACACACACACACGCAAGATAAACGTATACAACCATTGCGTAGTAATTGAATTGTAAGGCTGAAGAGCGGTTTCCCTCAAGCACGACAACCATCCACCCGTCAGGTCAGGTAAGGTTGGATGGTTGATCATAGGTAAATAAGTGTTTGTTTACATTCTTCTTTTGTAGGTGTTAATAGGAGGAAATTCTTACGGCAATATGAATGATTGTTGCAACGAGGAGAAGGAATTTGTTGCAATAAAGAGTGAGAGTTTGTTGCAAAGAAGAGTGAGTTTGTTGCAATGAGAAGTTAGTTTGTTGCAATGAAAAGTTAGTTTGTTGCAGCCCAAAAGTGAGTTTGTTGCAATAAAGTTGTTGCAATAAAGCGTAGAGAAAGTCTGGCTCAATGAGGAAAATCTGTTTATAATAAGGATTTTGTAGACCAGTGGGTTTCCTCGCTAATGACCAACGGGAGGAGGAAAATTGTCCTTTTGCACATTGTTATTGACTTCACACCTAAGTGAGATGAGGAAGAAAAACCCCAGTTCATTGTACGCGTTATTACCGAGCCCTGAAGAAAGAAAATGAGGAAATGGCAATAAAAAGAGAAATGTCTTCCTGTGGCTCATGATACCTTGAGATAAAAAAAATACATAAATTATTACCCATGTCGACGTTTTTAACTCCCTCTGAGTGAAAGAAAACAAGAGGAAAACTGTCCTCATGCTCGATACTGGCTGCTGTTTTTGCTAACGAGTGAGGAAAATGAGGCAAATGAGGAAAATGAGGAAAATGACATACTACGGCACACGAGGACGCCTAACTGGAGCTCTTGGACGCATGGTTAGCCAGGCGTCAAAGCACACAAACAAGGCTCCATGCGTCCGGAAAATGCTGGAAT